CCCCAAAACCCCAAAACCCCAAAACCCCAAAACCCCAAAACCCCAATTATTAAAAATAAAATTGAAATTTAAAACATGAGTGATTCAGAGAATAACTACAAAAGTACTCTTCCAGTGATTGAAGAAGAGAAAAACATGAGCAAGTCCTAGCTAACAACTCTAGATTTAGTAAAGAAAGAGAATCGATTAAAAATGAAGAAGTATGAGAAGCAGTTTGGAGAACTCTTTCTCGATTTAAATAATAGTTTAAACAGCTATCAAGAGAAGCTTGCCAAAAACTTCCTGAATACCTTCCAGGAACAGATCATGAAACTTCATGACGACATCTGGAAGCTTAAAGAAAAAGTTGACCATGATGATGAAGAAATGCTGAACAAGCCAAATGATAAATCTAACAAATCTAAAAGTAAGAGTAAGTTTCTTGAAGAGACACTTGAGTGGCTTAAGAAAGAATCAATCAGACTTACTGAGAAAAACTCAGCACAGAAGAAAGAGATAGGAAAGTGGAAGTCTAAAGCAGATGCATTTGAATCTGACATAGCTTTCCTTCAAGTTGTAATTAAATAAATCCAAGAAAACCATAAAACTGCTGAATTACAAACTTTCACAGTGCACTTGTGAGAACTTGAAGCAAGAAATTAATGACCCAAGCTTGTATAAAGACTTTTCGTGCACTCATTATGAGAACCAGATGATTTTGCCTTCAGGTGATAAAAAGTATGATGATAGCACAATGATCTTTAATAAAACTCAGACAGATATTTACCCAGTCAAGAAAGATAAGGGGAATCAAAATGCTCTGGTTCTAAGAGATGCTAGCTCTATCGAGCACTTTCCTATCTCCGAGACCCAGGAGTTATCAACAAAAGCTCAGGAATTAAAGGTAAACAATATAATAAAAAGTCAGAAGAGGCAAATAGACTACCTTAAGAGTAAATTAAAATCTGTGACTCGGACCAAGGTCAAGAATGTCCAAAGGTCATCAGACCTAGAGAAATTGTTCATGTCATGAGTAGAGGAAGTGAAGAAGGAGGTGACTAAGAGACGCACACTTTCCTCTGTCAGAACAAAAAGAGAGCTTAAAGGTAATCTATTTATGTAAAACATAGGTTCTTTCTGTAATCAGGATAAAATCAAGATTTTAGAGAAATTTGTTACAAATGAGACCCTCCTTTCTCAAATTTATCAGAATATTTTTGATCAACCTAAGGAAGAAGGTAAAGAAATCCCCTTCGTTCAAGGTAAGCTCGAGCATAAAACATCAGAATAATGTCCCTAATTTTTGTAGAAACACTGAAAACATTCTCACCAGATGTGGAAGATATTGAGAAAATCACCTTTGATCCTCTCATAGACACTAAAAAGACATTTATGCAGTTCAAGACCTCGAGGGTGTGTAAGCCTCTATCCTCTGGAACTGGAGGGAAAACACTAAGTTCCAAAGCTAGTGGATACAATAAGTAAAATTTGTTATTAAACAATAGGCCGAAATTTGTCGTCCCTAATACAAGTGATGACACCAGAAGACCAAGTAAAAGACCAGTAAAGCTGATCAAGTTGCCAAAAGAGAGAAGCCAAGGGAGAAATAGAGCCCATAAACTAGGCCTTAAGCCGCTTTATCATACTCATAGATAAGCATAAAGCCTCAGAAAAGTTTAGAGGATGAAGCCGACCTTGAGAATGTCAAGAACTCCATTAATGAAGAAAGGAGCAGTTCTTTTGTAGATATGGAATTCCTGAGCAATCAATCAGCTAAAGTTATTTTGGGGTTTTGGGGTTTTGGGGTTTTGGGGTTTTGGGG